AAATCTGCAAATGCTTTCTCTAGAAAGTAATCTTTTCTAAAGTGTTTCAAAGTTCAAATTTGGAACTTTAGCATTCAAATTGGGGATATCTAAAATTATAAATAATCACTAACCTAACAATAGCCAGATAAAATAGACCTTAAAACTAAGGCAATAAGTGCTTCGAATGCCAGTGGTGACCAGAAGCCACCCCTAAAATATTTATTGGAATGAAACTCTGCAACTAAAGATTCATTTTAATACTTGTTAGAGTTTCTTAGTACCCAAGGCCAGTTCCCCTGGGAGCTCGCACTATTAAAATAATCTGTGGAAACAAAATTAAAAAATGATTAATTTCCCATTATAAGTACTTCAGTGATAGGTAGTGAGTAGAATGGGAGTTCCCTTAAAGGTACACTTGGAAAATGTTACGAAACTTTTAATTTTATTATACATAGCTACCTTTTGGCCTAAGCTACCAAAAATACAAGTGAATTTGTGTGTGAGATATCTGTTTTCAGATACAGTAAAATACTGTGATTATAAAGTGTGACCATTGGTGGCGTGGTATATAGGAACTTTTAAACAAGAAAAAATCCCTTTCATTTTTCTTACTTAAAATGGTCCCGTTTATCACAAAGGGATAGAAATGTATAAACACAATAATATTGATCAATGAGATACAGAAAAAATGATTAGAATCATATATTTTTCATTCTTAAATGAACCTTAGGAATTACCTGGTCCTTACTGGGATTCGCTTTAAAATTATCCAGTGGCAGGGGTGTGAGAATAATATTGGCCATATGCTGCTAACTGTTGAAGCTGCGTGATGGGTACATGAGATGCACTATTCTCCCTACTATTGCATGGGTTTAAATATTTCAATAATGAAAGAAACTTTAAAACAATGGGGAGGGAATCATCAGGCCTAAATATTGATGGAACTATTCCTCATTGACGGCCTAAGATTTCCACCATACTGAGATTAAAGGTTGAAAACTTGAAAACATGTATAGTAGCAAATACTATCCTGTTAGAACTTAAAGAATAAACATATGGATTTTTTTTTCTTTGATGATAGCTAGAAAGGCATTTGTCATTTTTCTGGGGTCTGAAAAATCACATATTTTATATTCAATAAAATCACTTAATCTTTCATCATCTAGAATAAATCCACTAGGAATTCACTTAAATTGCATGTGATTGAAGATTTACTAGTTTATTAACATTGGAGGGGAGAAGGTCTTTTATCAAATGGACTTTCTTTTTCTTTGTCTCCTTCTTTCTTTCTTTTTCCTTCTTTCTTTCTACATACTTTATTTTACCTTCTCTGAATAATTTATGCACAGGTAAAACTCTTGGTAAATAAATAATCATTCCCTAAAGCTATGCAATTTAAAATGCATTTATGAAAGGTTGTGGGTCATCATTTATGGTAATGGAGTGTGAACAAACAAATTAAATCAAAGTATGAAGGAAAAAACTGGTTTCAGGCAGCAATCATAAAACTTTTAGTCTTTGAAACTTTGGTCCCTAGAACATGTACCAGTCAGGAGTCTGCCAGCCACTGGTTACAGCTCACAGCCATGAAGTCCCCACAAACCCTCCACCTGAAGTCTTTGATGATAAGTTAACTTTATAATTGCTATTTGGGCTTACAAGGAAGGTATTTATTAAAGAGTGAAACCAAGTTTTGCTTTATCATGTTAGAAGAGGAAGATGGCAAACACTGAAAAATTATTTTGCCTTAGAGTAAACTACTTCAAAGTAAGATTTTCAGAAAGTCCATTGGTTTTTTCCTCATTGGCAGTATCCAGGAAAGGTTAAGCGACTTGCTGGAGGACAAGCTCTGAATTAATTGCACAGCCAAAAGTAGATTCCAAGTCTCCTAGTTTACACGGTGCAGTGATTTTTCCGCTCCCACATGAGAGCAAGCAATAGAAATGAATTCTGGACTTACAAATTTACTATCAGACCTTTATAGTCAATGGAAGAAATATACATTAGAGGGGTTTTTCCCCTCTATGATACAAATATATTTAAAACTTTGAAACTGTGGCAGGTTGAACATACTTACCTAAGAGAGAGTTGAAGATCCTACAGTGACTCTATTTTTGAATACTTTACAAAATTATTGCCTTACTAATTTCTATGTATAATGATCTCCCTGACATGCCCTCAATGAATACTATTTTTGCTTCACATTGTGATGTCCTAGTGATAAACTGAAGAACTGTTAAACTGTGACCAGAAGGTCATCCATCAGACAGAAATGTTCATTTACGGGAAAATTTTAAATATCCTATTCACCCTATTGTCTACTTTGTAAGATTTTTAAAAAATAGTCATTGATATACTCATTAATCCAGATCTAAGGGTCACAGTTACCATCAGAGTTCATCTAAGAGGAGAGCAATTTCCTGGACCAAATCCTCAAGCTCAGGTTTAATCAGAAAACATGGGTTTTATTCCCAAGATTGCCTTTAAAAAGCAAGTGACTACAATTCTGTTTCATAGGCTCCCCAATTACCCCAGAAAAAGGAAATTGCCTTCTCCCTGACTGAGCAGTCACTGATGATCTGGCCATCGGATCATGATTAACTAAAATACTGACAATTTAAAGAGTTTTTCTCAAATCACGTCCAATAAATGAATCTCCTAACCAAGTAAATTCTTCAACATTCATGAACATTTTAACACATTCCTCAATTCCTTGCTCTTACTGATTTCTCCACTTATGCAAAATGAAAGTTACATTTGACCCATACAGCTGCCTTATGAGGATAGAATCCTTTCAGAAAAAAATAGAATTTTTAATTGACTGGAGAACAAACTCAAATGTTTCTCACCCATCTGTAACTGACTGTATTGTACAAACATGTGACATCCAACGTGATAGCCCTAGACACATGTGGCTATTAGCACTTGACATGTGGATAGTACAGCAGGGAGGGTATAACTCAATGGTAGAGCACATGCTTAGCATGTAGGAGGTCCTGGGTTCAATCCCTAGTACCACCATTAAAAATTTTTTTTAAATCTCTCTTTAAAAAAAGAAACGTGGCTAGCACAAATTGAGATGTGCTGTCAGTATAAAATACACGCTGGATTTCAAAGACATAGTATAAAATAAAAGAATGAAAAATGTCTCAATAATTTTATATTGACTATGTGTTGAAAAGGTATTTTACACAGATCTATAAAGTAAAGGATCTAATTAAAAGTCAGTAAAAGGATATAATTAAAAGTCCTTCCTGCAATTCATTAGCCACTACTGCTAATGAATATTTACATTGCAAATATTAGAAATATAATATTCTATAAAATTTAAATATTATTTTTAACTGTAAGCATCTATATCTGAACCCAAGTTATTTCACTAATTTCTTTTTACTTTTTTCAGTGTAACTACTGGAAATTTTTGAATTATGTGCATGACTTACACTTGTGCTGGTAGAGATCACCAGTCTCTGCCCAGCTAGTTCAGCCTCAGTACCTATGGACTTTGTTTATCCGTATCTTACACTGATACGAATGTATGATGGCAGCTTTCAATTATCTGTGCAAATAGGGCCTGAGGACGTTTAAGATTAAGATATTTCTCCGGTAATTCAAAACTAAATTTTAACTATTCATTTCAGTTACCTTGGCCATTCGGTTTTTTTCGTAAGGCTGTCAGAAAATAAGATGATCTGGCTTGGGATTCATTCCCTTTCTATCCCTTGTTTAATGTGGCCTGCATAGAGGAAACAATGAGAACTGGAATACCCAAGAGAGAAGGAAGAGAAAAGACATAGGAGGCCAGAATGGATGAGAACCTTGGTCATCTGCTTTTAAGTGATAGAGATCAGGTGGCCTTCAAGTCCACTTTGTGGATTCCCTACTGTTTGCTGGCATTGAGAAGTAACCCACACCACCATCTTCCTCCAATGCAGTTATCACACAAGAACTCTTACCACACTGTATTATATTGGTTATCTAAGTGCCACACTAGTATCATCAAGAAAGTCTTTTGGAAGAATAAAATTAGGAGAAATCCTTACTTGGAGGACTTGCTGGAAAAAGGAAACAAGAAGTCAAAGTCACTTGGAGTAAATAGCTCGGAGTAGGGTCATCTTACAGCGGGTATGCTAACGGTACACCAAAGCCCAAAGAAGCAAGGACCTTTGAGAGTGGCAGGAGCAAGGACTGCAATTGTCCCCGAATAAAATCCTTATAATAAATACTGAATATTTACGTCATGCCTATCTCATTTTAGAAGGGAAGAAAATGCCCTTGTCTAAGACCTCTTTGCTAGTGATGCCAGAACACATCATCCTAGGTGTAAACCAACTTAGACCACTTAAGCAAGATCAAGTTGTTCTTTAACAATGATAATCGAGTGCTGAATCTAAAAGACTCCCCCACAGGTTTCAAAATCCTTACTAGAGAAGATTGCTTTGGGGGAGCTCAGTGGGGTATAATCTTACCATTAGTGAGTGAGTCAAGTAGGTGCTAGATAGGCTAAATCAAGAGGGTGCATTTGAAATTATTCAGTCAAATCTAAAAGAAAAACTAGAGAGTTGTTCTTAACTTGAGAGCAACATAGTGATTTCCTTCCCCGTTAAATTCAGGGACTATCTTACTGACAGGAGGAAGATCTTTTTCAAAAGTAGTTCACACAGGGGAAAAAAAAAAACCAAACAAAGGTTTTGACCTTTTTTTTATAGTACTTACTTCTTATTTCTACTCAGCTTATCTTTCTAGTAGTCATTGGGGAGAATTCTTACCTCCTGAGCAATACTACGACACAGCCAGCAATTCTTAGACAAAGGTATGTCAAATCTGAAAGAAACTTCCCCTCCAGGAATAGCATTCTTGGAGCCATACAGTGCATTTACAGCTTTTAAGACTACTTTAAGCCTTTTTTCTTTTTTTAAAGAAAACACCTCTATGTATTCTTTTATTGAACCTTCTTAAAGATACTCTGACATGAGTAAAGAAGTTTTATTATCATTATTTTAGACAGTAAAATGAAGCCCAGGGAGGTTAATGGAAAGAAAGGCAAACACTGACTTAGTGAGGAGGGTTAACTTTCTGGCCCTCTTACCTTGCCTTCTGAAAAGACCGTCACTCACTCTTGATAAGCATCTTCCCTACCTTGGGTCCCTTCTTCTCTCTTTTGATCTTTTGCTGTTCGCAGTTTATCCAGATCCGATCATTTTCCCCTCAAGTAATAGTCTCACCAATAGAAGAACTGCCCAGCTTCCTGGACCATCGTCCTCGCAGTCTTAGTTGTACCTAAAATCACCCACAAAACAAACACATCAGCTCCCGGGGCAAAAAAAAATAATCTTATTAAAATGACTAGACTGTTTCCTTTTTTTTTTCTTTTTTCTTTTGTCACGAGTTTTATGGCAACTGTTTCAATTTGCCTTTGGAAGTTTTATGAAACCGTGTGTTGACCAAATACCGTGTTTTTGCTATCTATCAGAATGTAGCAGTGGCTCCGGGTTCAGCTGACTTGGTTGCTAACGGTGATGGGATCCCTGGAGATGAACAAGCTGAAGACAAGGAAGAAGATGATCAAGCCGGTGGTGTGAAGTTTGGATGGGTGAAAGGTGTGCTGGTGAGAAAGCTCCTATGTTTACAAATGAAAACTGTTCCGTGTCCTAGTGGACTAAGTGTTAACGAGGCCCGAACAGCAGAGTTTCAGAGATGACTGGGTTTTGCCCCACGGTCCCCTCTCACATCCCTTTCCGTGCTCCTTCAACCCACAGGTGAGATGCATGCTGAATATCTGGGGTGTCATGCTCTTCATCCGCCTCTCCTGGATTGTTGGAGAAGCTGGAATCGGTAAGCAATTTTTCCCTTCTACATCGTTTTTGATGTAAATTAAAAACCCAATAAGCAACTTGTTTTCACAATTAATGCTGAATGTGAGATGAAGGTCACAGAATTAATCTACACTTGGGCTCTTTTACTTTGCCTCTTTGACAATGTTTGTCAGAGAGGAAAGGTGAAGCGTTAATTCCCGGGAGACTGGAATTTTCCAGCTTGCCAACCAGATGAATGCTCAAGGAAATATTTCTATCTTTTCATAGAGTTTTGGGTGTGCAGGTATACAGAGATACATTCATTATAAATAATAGTATTCATATTTTGGGACATATTGACATTTATCAGAGAATCCCCTTTATGATTATTGGCAAAACTTCACTAAACAAAAGTAACTTGTGGGAAAACTGGTGAAAATGTGACCTGACTAATAAAAATGCTGAATTGTTGAACATTTTCCAAAGAAAATAATTGTGTTACTCTCAGGTACAGGCAGTAAGAAAACAAAGGTTAATAATGTATTGCCAGATAGAAGCTTAAAAAGATAGGTAAAATGACTAAGATAATGTATATAATGATTGCTAATTTTTCCAAGTGGAAAATAATGATGTTGAAATTATTTTTATTATAATATCTGATTGATTTGATAATAATAATTTGGTTTAAAAATTCTATTCCATTTAGAGTATTATTTCCTGTGGCAAAAATTTTTAATTGAGAGTATAGGAGTAAAATTTATATGAAAACTTATTTGAATTTTATCAAAGTTTTTGATTTAATATAATAAAAATTCATGATGTTCTATTGTATATATGGAAAATATATTATATATGGAAAATACATTATAATGTGATAAAAATTAATGATGTTCTACTCTA